AGTGCTCCGAGCTGGTGTGCGCTAGACCATGCACTCGGCCACCGACAACCCCCCCCCCCCCCGCCCCTTGTGCGTCTAATTTATATACAAATATAACTATTTGAAGATCGACGATGGACGTCGATCGTCTCGAGGTAATGTAACGTAATAACATTGTATAATAAATAAACTTGTTGAAGGACTGAACGACTCAATTTTTGACTTCTTGGATTGTAATATGGGGGTAGCCTATTGTACTTACTGTTGATGAAGAGCAATATGAGGTGACGTGGTAATGATTAAATGATGAAGCTCTATAAGGACGACGACATTAGTGGGTGTCGAACCACAACGTACAGTGCCAGACTTGTTTCAAGTACCGTGTACCCAAAGACTTTCTTCACCCACAACAGAGTAGGGTAGCATCAATGAGGATGCTCTTTACAACTGTACGTGGAACAAGAAAACTGCACCGTGCAGAAGTGCGGCTTATTCGTTAATAGGAGGAACGGATTTCTAGCAGCATTCCCTGATTGACTACTTGGAACAAATGGCCTCGTTGACGTAATGTGTCCCCGTTCCAAAAGATTCTTGAAGCATACTTAAACCGCAAAGGAGGATGAGCCGAAAAATAAGAAAAAGGAGCCTGGTGTGAAAGGTGCAAATCACCACCATAGCTTCTACTATCAAATACAAGGGCAGTTACACAATACACAAAGACAGTTTTGTGATTTATTTATCTTTACACTCAAGGGCATTGATATCCAACGTGTTCAGAGGGATGACACCTTCTGGCCAACCAACATAGAGCCATTTCTACTCAAGTTTTACATGGAAGGCCCGACTTCCGCTGCAATTCCTCACGTAGACGAGTTGTCCGACCGAATAAACTGCAATTACTCCCGATCTAGGAATCTCTCGATCTTCGTTTGTAAGCCATAGTATCATGAGATCGAGGGGTGTGGCTCTTCGTTCGCGTGTTTTTACCTTGTAAGATGAGACCGTCGCGTGCTGCTGGAACAACCTGGCGATTCTTCACTGAACTGCTTCTTCCGTAAGCTTCAAAAGGGCTGTTTTTTTTTTTTGTTTCGCACATCATCTGTTCTGCATGCCCGTTAGTTGCAGGATGGCATGGTGCACTAATGTGATGCCTGATGCCGTTTTTGTTTCTTCAAAAACCTGTTTATTTTGTTTGAAGCAAAATTTGGCGCGTTATCAGAGAAAAGAATTTTCGGTAGGGCAAAAGTAGGTAAAAGAGACAGTGGAACGTCAATGACGTGTTTGGACGTCGTGGCAGGCATCATGTAAACTTCCAGCCACTTGGAGTACGCATCGCCCATGACTCCGCAGAAGGGGATACGTTTCGCCACCCACCGATTGGATTGTGGATCGTTTTCAGTTACTGTTCATGATGGCGTTGGACACAAGAAAGACTTCGAGACTTTCCAGAAAGTTAGTCTAGGTGCCAGGACTTTTGCCGAAAGCGGTAAGTGGTCGAAACGTCGAAAACGTCGGTAGCCACGTGTTGTGCTTGACACTGTCAGGTCATCACCGCAACACCATCTCCCGTCAAAAACGGAAATCCATAGAGTAAGCAATCAAGTGAACTTATAAATTTCCGAACGCTCATAACTTGCCGTCGCTAAACGCTGTTGATTCATAGCGTCATCACTGCAAATAAACACCTTCCTATTTCTTCTGATGGTTTCCATCATATTCCTCCTAAGCTGTACTTACAACATTATGTATGTCGGTACTTCCGAAAATAATGCAACGGCGTTTGTTTTCTGGGAACCTATAATGTAAGAACCTTAACAACATCTTCCGCACCCCATGAAACACAATATTTCGTGACGTTATTTTAGTCGTCATTAAAATAATGAGGTAAGTACCGTAAATCGCGAAGCAGTTTACGTGACGTACGCTTCCACCGGTGCCTTGGAAGATTGAGTCTACTGAGCGTGAATTCCTGCAGAAGAAATTTTCATTGATAGAAAATAAACACGTCAATCAACATTTGATCCCTTCTTGGTAAGATTTATTGCGAAAGCCCGTTACAACCGCCGAACCGCATCTCCCTATATCAGAGAACAATTTATACCCAGCCTGACATTCTCTCATACATCCGTTTGATGGGCCACGCTACTTGAGCTAGCTGAGCACAGCTGGCAGCGGCGCGACCAAGGCCACGAGGGGAACGTGATGGTGCTCGAGCCATCCCACCGTGAACCAATGTTTCGGCCACCCCACGGGTGCGTGTCGCCATCTATTGGTTGAACTAACGCCTTCTTCAAGATGGCTGCCGTGGGACCGCAGCCTTAATAGCCATTTGCGTGTGTCAAGCAAGAAGTTTCGGGTATTGTCTACGAGTGCACATGCTGCCTCCGGAGGTCAAGGCCTTATTCGAAACTTCATACCATCCGTAGGTCATGGAAAGCGAATTTGCAAAATCCTTCAAGCCGAGTGGCATCGTCAAACACGGCACTACCGGAACTACCCATTTATGCAGCTGCGAACAAACCCGACAAATACCTTCAGCAGAAGGGCCAGGCGAGAAATCGCCTCCCTCACAGAGAGAACGACCGACCATCTGTGGAAACTCACTTTGTGGCATCTCTGTAAGAACAGACCAAGGGAAGAACAGGCGTTGATAAGCTCGTATGCACAATAGGAGACATCCACATACCAAACGCAGTACAGCAAGTTCTCAGTCTGGGCCCTAAGTTTGCGGTGGAACCTAAGAAGACGGCACCGGATTTACTTTCCCTTGTGAGGGAAGTCTCGAGACGAGCTCCGGAGACCGAAATGGATCGCTGCACCTCTGAAGGTGTAGACATGCTTGTGCAGTACAAACCACCATCTACTCCTCTGCCCATCAAGAGAGTAGAAACGTACCTGAAAGAGAATTCATTATATCTTCTGCCCGATGACAAAGAAGGAGGTTTTGTCCTCATGCATTCGGACACGTTTGGAGAAAATGCATTAACAGCAGTCAAATCCGTTTTCAGCAAGCGCTCTGAGATCTCCCTGAAAAAAGTTAAAAAGGAAGCAAACAATTTTGTCACTTGAACGATTTAAAACAACTCTGCTCCTACATCGATCGCAGTAAAAATCTGAGTCTAGAATTATTTTTCAGCGCCAAAACTCACAAAGCGGATTGCCCCCTCCGGGTTATCGTTTCTGAAAGGGGGACATGGCAAAAGTCTGTTGCCTTATTTCTGCAAACACAGCTAAACCTACTTAACATTGATGATCCATACCTGATCAGCAGCTCCTCTGAAGTTTTCAACTTTTTAGAAGAGCATCGTGACCAAGACCTAAAGGTGTTCTCCATCGACATTAAGGATCTGTACTATTCCTTGCCCCACGACCGCCTCCTAAGGTACATAGAGGACAGCATAGACACCTTCGGTGCTATTGCCTTTCAAAATGAGTCGGGCTTTTCCGAAAGCAAGTTTTTGACCTTGATTAACATCTACCTCAGGTCGACCTTTGCTACCTGGGATTACCAACCATACCTACAGAAGAGAGGTGTCTGCATCGGGTCCTGCATTGCCCCTATCCTTAGCGATCTCTATCTAGCTCACAACGACAGGAGGATAAAAGTATCATTAGACAGCTCCAAAGTTATAAGAGTGTTCCGGTACGTCGACGAGTATTTAATTGTTCTAGCTTCAGACGATCGCAACTTCACCAGCATGGTCGCTGACGTCCTCGACAGTTTTAAAATCTGCATGAGTCCTTTGAAATTACCCATGAACTTCCAAACGAGCGCTCTTTAAGATTCCTAGATCTCAGACTCTTCATGTTACCCTACCATTTATGCTGATCGTATGAGCCCAGGGGAAAAAACCGCTCTTACCATTCAATTCGGCCCATTCAAAACTCGTTAAAAGAAGCATCGTGCGGTTATGCCTCAAAAACTCACTCAAAAAATCCTGCTCGCATTCCATTCCAACGAGCTTTGACGGGCAAGTCTCAAGACTAAAGCGCGCAGGATACCCAAACTCGTTATTAACATCAGTGGCCGAAAAGCTCATCAACGAACGCAGGCAAGATTTTTGCACGCAACAAAAGCAAAGAGACAAAACAAAGAAGCCCATCATTGTGCCATATATTCATAATTTTTCTGACGGCCTGAAGAAAATAGCTAACCGAGTAAACTTGGAAGTCATCTTCTCAGCTCCTAACAAACTTCACAGCTTATGCACGAAGGTAAATACTTTACCAATAACAACAGTTGGCTGCAAAAAGAAGCACAAGAATACCTTTGACCCTTGTGCAGAAAAGGTGGTCTACTCCTTTCCGCTCTGTTGTGGAAAGCTGCACATAGGTCAAACCGGAAGGTGTCGGAACGATCGCCTTCGAGAGCATAACAACACATTCACCAACAAAAGCTCCGGTCATCTAGGGATTCACTGCCGTGACTGTGGGTGCTCAGTGCAGCTGAGTAACTGCGGCGTGCTTGGCAAGCATCATAACAAGCTCAAAAGAGAAATCGAGGCAGAGAACATTGCGAAACATAACGGCACATGCGTTAGTACTCCGTCTTTAACCTTGTCACAAAAAGAATTAGACTACCTAGCTTTACATTAATTTCAATTTAGCTCAGTATTTAGCATCATATCGAAAGAAAAGAAAAAAAGACCAGTTATTCTCCCTGGCCCTTACCCGCGAAAATGTCATAATATCAGGCGTTTCATAGCGACCGGGGCGAGAAATCGACGGTCACGACACTTGTGAAACGAAACATCGCGGTGATAGAACACGAGCTCGATTTGCGGGAGATCGAGAACGTCTTCGTCGAAATTTTAACGGGCAAAAAAACGGAACCCAACCTCTTTTTGTTGAATATATACAGCTCGCCTAAACAAAGAAAGGTAAGGTTCAGAGCCCTGCTCCGCAAAACTCTCATGATTAGCGGAAACCGGCCTCTCGTGGTTGGGGGGGGATTTAAACGCGGATCATCAGGCCTGGGGGTACTCTCATCAGTGCCCAAAAGATAGACAATTGTGGAGGACATGCAAGACCAGGGGCTTTCGTTACACACTGACCCTGATAGCCCCACGCGAGTGGGCAACAGCGTTAGTGAAAATACGTCTCCAGATTTCACCCTCTCCAAGAACGTCCGCGGCCTCGAATGGCACGATTCAGAGCTAAATTTTGGGAGCGACCACTACATACTGGTATCCCTCCTCAAAGAAGGCCTTAAAACGCGCAGGGCACGCCGCGCCAGCCACCGCCGAATGGGACCAGTTTAGAACAATCAGATCCAACCAGGAAGGGAAGCCCATTTGCGACATCGGGGAATGGGCGGAACAGCTAAAATCGAACGTCGGGGAGGTTACCAAAACCTTAGAAGGTGAAGACGCTCCCGAGATTGCCGATAGCCGCCTCCTGCAAACGTGGGAGGCTAAGCAAAGCATGGAAAGACGTCTAAGGACACAAAAATGGAACCGCACCCTCCGCAGAAGGTTAGCGCGACACAACAAGGAAATTGAGGATTACTCCTTTAAATTATGCGAACAAAATTGGGGCAACAAATGCGACCAGATGGAAGGCGAGATGAACCTCGCTAGAACTTGGGGTATGCTCCGCCATTTGCTCGACCCGGAAAATTCGAAAACCCAATCGGGAATCAGACTCGCCAAAGCTCGACAGGCTTTTGATGGCGGCGACGACGATTTCATGCAGAAACTAATAGAAAACTACGTAGGTGAGATCCATCAAACACCCCTTCCAGACTATGATGGTGCGCACAACGAGGCGCTTGATGCCCCCATCACTGAAGCGGAAGTTAGAGCGGAATTAGTTAGGCTCAGCACAAAGTCTGCCTCGGGTCCTGACGGGATTACAAATAAAATGCTCAGGAACTTGGATGATACCTCGATAGGTTACCTAACGGAGTACATGCAAGAATGCTGGGACAAAGGCGAGCTGCCGCAGCAATGGAAATCAGCAAACGCCATCTTAATACCCAAGCCGGGCAAGCCTCCGCAGCTCGGGAATCTCAGGCCCATATCGCTTACCTCGTGCATAGGAAAGCTAATGGAGCACGTCATCCAGACGAGATTAATCGAATACCCGAAAAAGCAGGACCTCTTGCCGCACACAATGATCGGGTTCCGCCCTCATCTGTGCACGCAGGATATCATGCTTCAGATTAAACACGACATTGTCGACTCGCGGTCTAAGGATGCGAAGGTGATCCTAGGGCTAGACCTGACGAAAGCCTTCGACAACGTAAAGCACGAGGCGATACTTACCGGACTTAGCAATCTAAATGTGGGCACTAAAACTTTCAATTACGTGCGAAACTTCCTTTCCGGCAGGACGGCCTGCGTAAAATTCCAATCTATCGAATCTTCCATTCTTGAGCAGGGCAGCCCAGGGCTCGGTGTTGTCACCCCTCCTCTTTAACGTGGCCATGTCCGCGCTCCCCGGGCAGTTGGAACGCATCGAGGGGCTACAATTCAGCCTCTACGCAGATAACATTACCTTATGGGTCAACCAGGGTAGTGACTCGGAAATTGAACAAAGGCTCCAGGCGGCGACCGACACAATCGTGAGGTACGTGGCCGAGCGAGGATTGGCTTGTTCGCCACAAAAATCGGAACTATTCGTCTACAACCCTAGGCATCTGCGGTGTAAGGCACCGTCGGATATTCTAATTCAGGTAGCGGGAGCAGAGGTCCCAAAAGTAGAACAGATACGAATTCTCGGCCTAGTTCTCCAGTCTCACGGCAACAACGGCGAGACTCTAAAGCGACTGGGGAGCCACGTGATTCAGACACTGAGCCTCATCAGGCGGGTTGCGAGCAAAGGGCGAGGATTAAAAGAAAAGAAATTAATGAGGCTGGTACAAGCTTTCATATTCAGCAGAGTTAGCTACTCTACGCCTTATCTCGACTTAAAGTCGGCAGAAAAGATGAAAATTGACGGATTAATACGTAGATGCGTCAAGCGCGCTGGGCCTGCCCACGTGCACATCCACGGAGCGACTTTTGGCGCTCGGGATGCACAACATGTGGGTGGAACTGGCGGAAGCGGTGCGCAGATCTCAGATTGAGAGATTGTGCGCCACAAAAACGGGCAGGACTATCCTGGCTAAAGTAGGAATAAATCCGCACAGGGGCCCAATCCTGAAGGCAGAAATTAAGGAGGGAATCAGAAGCTGGCTAACCATCCCCCCTTTACCTAAGAATATGCATCCCGAGCATAATAAGATCAGAAGAGAGAAGAGAGCAGAGGCCATTAGTCTCCGGTATAGGGAGCTGCCCTCGGAGCAGGTAGCGTATGCGGACGCCGCTTGTGGCCACGACGGACGAGCGATAGCCGCGGTAGTCGATGGCCGCGGAAATGTCGTTACGGCAGTCTCCTTAAGGACGCGCTCTGCTGCAGTGGCGGAGGAAGTTGCGGTAGCATTGGCTTGCGTCGGCACGGAAGCAAATTTCATCATAAGCGACAGTAAAACTGCCATCCAAAATTTTAGTGCAGGCAGAATCTCGCCTGCGGCGGCGAAGATTCTCGATCAGCGACAAATTGCGAGGCAAATTACGTTGATCTGGACACCGGCACATGCCTCCGTCCCCGGCAACGAGGCGGCTCACGAGCTAGCTCGAGGTTTATACCACCGGGCTGGTGAGGACCTCCTCTGGCAAGGGAGCGGTGAACGCATGGTAAAATATGGGGAAATTACTCAACATTACAGATTGGAACGTAGGCTGGTACCCACACCAGACCCGTCATTAAATAATACGCAGGCAGTCGCGTGGCGACGACTCCAAACGTACACCTACCCACACCCAATCCTGGTGAACCATATGTTCCCGGATATAAGATCAGACGAGTGTACACACTGCGGGTTGAGAGGGTCCCTCGACCATATAATCTGGGAAGGCTCAAATTCTCCTGGGAGGGCGCTAAATATCGCTTCTAAAGAATCCTGGGAGACCCTGCTGCGCAGTTCGGACCCTGAGCTCCAGCTGTGCCTCGTCCGACTGGCTGAAGAGGCCGCCGGGACACAAGACCTCCTGGCCAGCATCTAAAGCGGTGCCTCCTCCCTCCCCGGCCTGGTGCCGAGGGGGGAGGGAGAATGTCAATTCTGTCGGACAATAAATGTTCTTTCCTCCTCCTCCTCCCTGGCCCTTGCATATAGCATAAATAGAAGAAGAGAAAGTGTAAATTTAGAGAGTTGTCAGTCAGCGCTGAGTAAGTGTTTCTTTCTTTTGTGTGTATGTTGATTTGAATGACTGTTCTGCGGGTGCGCTGTTCCCGGTGAACCCAAAAAGTTATTCGCCCAAATTAAAAAGAAAAAAAATGCCACGATTTTTTCAAAAGCAGAGATCAAGATCTTTTAGCAGCCCACCAAAAGTACAAAAATAGGCAAACATCTGATTTGAAAAATACAAAACATGATTATTATTAACGCCTATATTTCCGCGTCCAGAATGAGCCCACAAAAATACGGGAAGCCGTCAATACCCTCATGAACAATAACAATTAAGCCACAGAAATACAAACTGTGATCTTCGATGGCGAGCGTGTAAGCGGGTTGGAGTCATCTGACGCAATGAACGAACATTTTGTAAAAGTTGGCGAGTGAACTGAAGATACGCAAGCATATTACGACACAGCTAGCACGACTTGCTTAACAAACTCGGTAATGTTACCACCAGTCACCCCACAGGAAATTGTACTACTAATAACAGAAAAAAATGTAGCTGCTGGCATCGACAACCTTAAACCAGTTCCTATTAAATACGTTTCGCAAGATGTTAGGAACGTTCTATCACACATCATAAACTGCATGTTAGAAACGGGTATATTTTCTGAGAAACTTAAAATTGACAAAGTTACACCTTTGTACAAAAAGGGCAGAGAATACTTACAAAATTTTAGACCAATTTAGGTCTTGCTTAAATTTTATAAACTACTTGAGGGCGTTATACAAAGCAGAATAGATCCATTTATATCCGAGTGTCATGTGATTAACACATCACAATATGGATTTCAGAAAGGTAAATCCACGGAGCAAGCACTCGTAGAGGGAAAAGACAAGATAATTGGGAATACATTATTTTAGACCTAAGTAAAGCATTTGACACTGTAGAACACGACATACTGTTACATACTGATTAGCGACGGTTGGAACTGAATCGGATGTGTGTCTTGTTGGTTTCGCGGTACGTGTGGTTTCTCCAATAATAAACCAGCTGCAAGTAGCGCTCTGTGGTGTGTGTCTCTCCTACTCGTCCGTCGTTTTTAGCGCTTTTAACCCCTAAACATGTTTAACCAACTAGCCCAAATCCAAACCCTTCTGAAATACCTTTCTTCTACATGGGCATCTTTTAACTGTTCACCGTGTTATCAACAAGACATATACTTCATCAATGCCATCGCTGTTACGCCTGTCAAGGCGAGACACTGTTCGTACGCCATAAGGAACGGGGGCTACTCATCGGAAGTCCTGAACCTCTTCCAGATACCGCCATCGACCGGACATGCGAAAAGGATTACAAAGGTTCTACGTGCAGAAGCCTGGAGGCAAGTAAGGCTACTTCAAGATGGTCTGAAGGTTTGGTGCCGCACGATTTATAAGGATGGGGGGGGGGGGGGTGGGCGGAATGGAAGTTCAGGGATTGAAGACGCCAAGCCGAAAGGAATACGGAGTTTTTATGGCAAAGGGTGCTGGGGCATCGCTACCGAGGCCCGTCAAGATGAAGAGGGGCGTGTGTGAGGTGGTGCTGCTTGGTGACGCTAAGGCTCCGGAGGAGATAGTAAGGATTTTAGAGAAAGGACCCAAGTTTGCCGGTAAAGCAAACGTCAAGCCTCAGGAACTCTTGACACTGGTGCGAGATGTGGGAGACAGAGTGGATCGGGCTAAGAGAGATAGATGCATTTTAGATGGAGTCGATACCCTTCCCCGAAAAAGAGGGGGCGTGTCCTCCAGTGGACCTAGAGTTGGCAAGGTTGTGTCTTTTTGTGTGGACGAACATCTCAAGCTACTGGTAGCAGACAAGGAGGGCGGGTTTGTCCTTGTTACTGAGAAGGATTTTTTAAGTAAGGGCAAGCAGTCAATAGAGAAGAATTTTAAGGAAGCAAAGAAGGTTTCCCTCACAAGGGTAAAGAAGAGGGCTGTTGAACTGTGCCAGAACTTGAGTCTGGACAGTTTAAAAGCTTCGATCGTACGGGCTAAGGATCTTAACCTGAAGGTTTTCTTCATGGTGAAGACTCATAAAGTGGACATGCCGTTTAGGGCTGTTGTGACACAGAAGGGGTCGTGGCAGATGCAGATGTCATCGTACCTTCAGCGTCACCTTTCCCAGCTTCACTTGAACGATCCTTTCAGGGTGAACAATTCAGAAAGTGTGGTGGAGTTTTTGACACATTCGAACCCTGGTGCCTGTGATGCGGTATCATTTGACGTTGAAAACCTGTTTTATTCTATACCACATGACGGTCTTTTCGTAGCTATTCGTGAGGCCATTGAGGTGTTTGGAGAGGTCAAGTTACAAAATCAATGTGGGGTTGCCGCGGAAGGTTTTCTAGAGTTGCTAGGCTTTTATTTGGAATCCACATATATTGTTTTTAAAGACGTACAGCTCGAGCAGAAGCAAGGTGTGTGTATTGGTGCGAGTGTGACTCCAGTGTTAAGTGATTTGTGCTTAGCAAAGTGTGATAGGGACATTAAGAATAGATTGGAGGCAGGACTCGTCCATGTATTCAGATTTGTGGACGACTACCTTGTTCTGTTCCGGAAAAAAAGGGGAGTCAGAAAGGGCGATGTTTGTGTCAGACATATTGGAGATT